GGCATAAAAAGTCATAAAAACGTCATAGTATAGTAAGGCATAAAAAGTCATAGTATAGTAAGGCATAAAAAGTTATAAAAACGACATAGTATAGTAAGGCATAAAAAGTCATAGTATAGTATGGCATAAAAAGTCATAAAAACCTCATAGTATTGTAACGCAAAATAAGTCAAAAAAACGTCAGTACGGTAAGGAATAAAAAGTCATAATAATGACATAGTATAGTAAGGCCTAAAAAGTCATAGTATAGTAAGGCATAAAAACATCATAGTATTGTGAGCTATAAAATATCATAAAACTGTCATAGTATAATAAGGCATAAAAAGTCATCAAAACGTCATAGTATTGTAAGGTATAAAAAGTCATACTATATTAAGGCATAAAACGAAAGAGTATAGTAAGGTGTAAAAAGTCATAAAAACCTCATCGTATAGTAAGGCACAAAAAGTCATAAAAATGTCATAGTATAGTAAGGCTTAAAAAGTCATAGTATAGTAAGGCATAAAAGGCATACAAACATCATAGTATTGTAAGGCATAAAATATCATAAAACTGTCATAGTATAGTCATGCATAAAAAGTCATAAAAACGATATGAAAAAGGACATAGTATTGTAAGGCATAAAAAGTCATAAAAACGACAAAGTATAGTAAGGCATAAAAAGTCATAGTATAATAAGGTATAAAAAGTCATAAGAACTTAATTGTATAAGGCATTAACGGTCATAAAAACATCATAGTATTGTGAGGCATAAAATACCATTAAACTGTCACAGTATAGGAAGGCATAAAAAGTCATAAAAAAATCATAGTATTGTAAGACATAAATAGTCATAGTATAGTGAGGCATAAAAAAGTCAAAAAAGGTAATACTATAGTAAAGCATAAAAAATGTCAAAAAACATCATAGTACTGTAAGGCATAAAATCCCATGTTATAGTAAGGCATAAAAACGTCAAAAAAATTCATAGTATAGTAAGGCGTAAAAAGGTGAAAAAACGTCATAGTATATAGTAAGGCTTAAAACCTTCAACAAACATCATAGTATAGTAAGGCACAAAAATTCATATTAAAGTAAGGCATAAAAAGGTTAAAAAAGGTCATAATATATTAAGCCATAAAACCTCATAGTATAGTAAGGCATAAGAAGGTCAAAAAAGTTCATAGTACAGTAATGTATAATACGTCATAGTTTATTAAGGCATAAAAAGGTATAAAAAAAACTTCATAGTATACTGAGTCATAGAAGAATGTCATAATATCGTAAGGCATAAAACATCACAGTATAGTAAAGCAGAAAAACACCATAAACATGAAAGTATAGTAAGGCATAAAAAGGTCAAAAAACTTTATAGTAAGGCATGAAAAAGTAACAGTATAGTAAGTCATAAAAATGTCATGGTATACTGAGTCAAAGAACATTATAGTATAGTAAGCCATAAAAAGGTTAAAAAAAACACCGTAGTATGGCAAGGAATAAAAAGGCCACAGTATACTAAGTCATAAAAAATGTTTCAGTAAAGTAAAGCAACACCCTAGTATAGTTATGCATAAAATGTCATAGCATATTAAGGCATAAAAAAGTCATAGTATAGTAAGTCATAAAAAAAGTCAAAGCATTCATGGTGACATTTTCATTGGATTTTTCGACCGAAATTTAACTCATACTTTGATATACCCACCATTTTATGTTTACTCCTGCTAGCAACCTGACTGTTAGCCTACAGAAGCCAGGGTTAGCTTGGTGGTTAACGCTAGCTAACATGGCCAAATTACATCAGTTGACATTTTTCTGGTGATGCTGGGTACCACTGTGATATTCTCACATGAACCTTTCGATAGCCCTTGCCCTTTCAGTCGATCAAATGCTAGCATGCCTAAATCAGTAGCCAATTGGATGGCACATTGGAATGAAATATTAGTAGGAACATGACCCTACTGTGCATATGCAAACCTACGCCCTTGTTTTCAATGTAAAGTAACTTAAACCTGCTCAAAAAGTTGCTAAATGTCACTAGAAAATGTAATACCCCAATTAGCATACTATCAACATCATTGCGTGTGTTTCTAAGGCTGGCCTCACTGTTGTGGTACAGCCAATAAAAACATAAATTTGATCAATTACCATTTTCTAATCACTCAATTGTCTCTGCAACACTCTCACAATGAAAGAGAATAAGTGTATTTCTCAGATGCTCAACAATGGAGTCCAGGGGTCCATGAAAATAAACAATCTGATTACAAGGTGATGAAATTACTTTCTCAGCATTAGAAATCAGTACTGGACCAGCTGAAGTGAATCAACATGTTCTGAAATATGTCATAGGTGAAGGAAGAAACTGTACAGATTCTTTTCAGATCAGTTTTATTGAACAAAAACGTTTTTTAAAGATCATGTAGGAAATACAATATTATACAAGTGTTGCACAAACAAGACAAACAGAAAGATCTACAAAAGGGAGTTGCCGGTGGGCATGAACATGGCCGCATACAGACAGGTCTTAAAGGGGTGCGAAAAAACAGATTCCTCCAGAACATAAAATTCATCAGATTACGGACATGGAAATCTGTAAAGCCGATCACCAAACACTGATGTGGTCTCAGTTTCAAAAGCGGAACAGTTTTCAAATTTGAGAACAGCGCATGGCCTTCAAACCAGAAACCGCAGCTTTGCTGTCTGCGGTTTCTGGTTTGAAGGCCATGCACTGTTGCAGCCTGCAACAGAGCACACAATGTTTAAACCTGTAACTAATGTTTGGAAATCCATTTTTTTGTCTTTTTCGTGGTTTTAGAAACACAAGACCTTATTTACTGACCTGATGGTGGTTTAGTTGTTTTTTCTGGACCTCAGAAGATCTGGCTGCTTAATTAGTCAATATTTCTAATGTCAAGGTCCACTTACTGGCTTTTTCTGGAGCTTTTATCTGTAGTTAATGGGCTTGAGATCAGTAAAAGCTCCATGAAAAGCTAATAAGTAGACTACGAGGTAAGAGTTTGTCAAAAAAAAAATTTGTATTTGACAAAAAATAAAATGTTAGCACTCAATAATTTATTCTCGTGGAATGATATTTTGCCCAAACATCTCAAACTATTTTTTTGAGGGGAATACACAGGAGTTTTTCACAGATAACATGAAAATGGATTCAAGGTGGGTCCTCACAATAGAAACCCTTTGGAAAGCACACAAGGTGGTTTGGCATCCCAACCTGCAGGGGGCAGCAGTGCTATCAGTCCCTCAGAGACTAACTCACAGGAAGTTATTCAATGCTCCAATTTGAACTGGTAAAGGAGAAACAGGATGACATTCTTGTGCCAGTCATTTCATTGAGCACCAACATTGCAAAGTTAGCACCTGTAGCAAAAACCATTGTAGGTCCAAAATAAACTAGATCAAATTTTAGAAATTTCAATTATTATTTCAAATATTTTCCCCATGTTGCAGCAAATAAAAATATTAATTACTTTTGTGAACAGGTTCCAATGAATCACTGTCACAACCTCAAAGTGCATTTTTCTTTGTTTTAAGGGGAGTAAGAACAGTCTGATCGCAGCTGATGAATTCAAGAAATTACTAAATAGAATTTGTCGGGTGATTCTCTGTGTCACCTCAGAGCTCACAGAGCACAAAGGAGATCTGATGGGACATCCAACTTTCTTGTGTTGCAGTTTCAAATTTAAATGGTCAGGAAACAAACAGGCCTGTACCTCAAGTTAACAAATTTCACCACAAATGTTTTTTGAATCAGCCAAACAAATGTCTTACAGGACTCAGGACTTGGACTGAAAGTTGATTGCCTGTTTAGTAGAGACATTTATTTGATAAAAGTCAATTTTCAGCAGAATCAGACCTGCTGATAGTATTTTCCAAGCCCGAGTGAACATCTTGATTTCATATTCGTGTCTGCAAAACATCTTAAACTTTTAGAGTTAACTTATTTTTCTGCAGCTGCTTTCATTAATTCATGTTTTGTCACTGAAAGACATCAAATATTCCCAACTGTCAAAAAAACTCTTAAATCCATTGTTTTTCTCCATGTGTGGATAAACTAAACCAAGGAACACTTTGTGAAGGACTGTAGTTCAAACTAATCAGCCAGGTATTTATCTATCTCTGTGTGCCGTGGGTTTGATTCCCTCCTGTACTAACTCCAAGAGCCTTCCTGATTTCCAGTGGAAACAACAAAATACAAAAAAGGAAGACAAACTAAACACTTTCCTTATTCCCTCTTTTTGTTTAGTTTATTTGTTTTGCTGGACCAACCAACCACCACGTCTGCTCATCTGAAGACTTTACAAACCCGCCTTGCTCATCCACCAGTTCATCTGGGTGTGAAGGGATCGTCCCATCCCACCACTAACTTTATTTCCTTCTTCGTTACAGTGGGAAAAAAAAGGGTGCCGCAGTGACAGCACTGTTTTTAATCGCTACATGTAAAAAAAAAATTTTAACAAACAGTGCTATACTTCAAATTAGTTATAAATACTCTTTGAACACCTGCAAGCCACACCCAGCACATTATCGAAGGGCAGAAAATTCACCACAACAGCCACAGTGGATGCTGCATCCATAAATTCATCAGAAATATCAGCTAGCCACCAGTCAACTCAAGGCAGAATGATGGTTGGTTGAAGTTTTGTGTAGCATAAACTTATGTTGACAGTGATAATGTACCAGCATTCAGTCGATAGTCCTTTCCCAGCCTGCTAGGAAAAGCATCACCTAACTTTAAATGCCTTTCATTCTCAGGTGCCCCTGAACCTGATCCTCCACAGACAAACTAACTACTCTACTTCCAGCACCCAGCAGAGATCATAAAAACCCATGTACGATGTCTGCTATGAACACTGGGGCTCAGCCAGGAAGAGGCTAATGGATGTAGAACACTAACATCTGCTGAAGGACATGGTGTGTGTGTGTGTGTAGGTTTGAGGAGAATTGTCACTTGTTCTGGTATCTGAAGTCTCTAAGCACATGGTTCAGAGGTTGAATCTGAATCACCGGAGACAGATTGACCTGTAGGATCTTTTGCGCTTTTCTGCGGGCATCAGCCACGGAACGAGAGTCATCCACCTTTATCACTTTCCATCTAAAACTGTTCTTGTCCTTCCAGCTGTTTCTCTGCCGGGACGGGATGTCTAGTTCCTTGGGGCTCTGACCGTCCTGGGGGAAACCATTGCTCCTCCAGCCGTTACTGGTCAGCTCTGTATGAGTCTGTGGAAACACCCGACCGTTAGCATAGAAAACCGGTGCAGAATCTCCAATGAGGGCACCGTCCAGTCGGATAGGACAGGACAGGCTCTTCTGGCTGAACAAGGCCACAGCTTTGGTGGGCGCCCCACCACCATTCTGAGAAGGCTGCAAAGGTATTCCTGAAAGTGTTGGGGGGTGCTGTTGCTGTGAAAAGCCAACAGAGGGCGCCCCAGAGGACGAGTCCCAGTTAGTGTGGATCTGGAGCCTTGCTGTGTGGAAGCCCGTCAGGCCTTCAATGTTGGTCAATCTGAGACACGGCTGCAACTGCAGCGCTTGTGACATCTCTACAGTCCGAATGGGGGTCCTGCTGCAGACAATGGAGTGCTGGTCCACCAGCAGCTCTGGAGGGCGGACCCCTTGAATCCTGGGGTTGCTCCTCTCAGAGGTGTTCCAGGACGGGTGCACCTCTCTCTTCTTGGCCAGTCCCTTCTTTCCCCTTCTCTTGGCAGTAGGTCTGAGGTTCCTGTTGGGTGGCTTCAGCATGTCTTCAGTCAGGGGTTGGTTTGTGCAGGAGCGGTAGCCGTACACGTCCTTGCTGCGCAGCACGGTGGGCTTGTGGCCTTCCTCACCCAGCTCTTGCAGGAAGGTGACCAGGTCCTCCGTGCTCGAGAGGTCATGGGACATGGGGCTGAGGATCTTTAGAGCATCCAGGAGGACGTTGTGGCCCGCTGACGATATCCGCGACCAGGAATGAACCGCCCTCCGCTCTTCATTGGAGAATGCAGAGGGCCGGCCGACCATGGGACCTCGCACTGTGCCAGCCATGTTTGCAGACCTACCATGAAAAAACAAAGCATTTGGTTAAACTGGATCACACCAATTACCATCATTCAATCCTTTTTAGTCACATTTTTTGATATTTTGCAACATAATATTGTTACAAGTCCCTTTTTAGTCCCCCTTTTTTCAGCTTATTTTAGAACAAAGTAGGGTAGGATAAGTATAATGGAAAGCTGGTATCTTAAAAGTAAGTGGTTTAGCATCTTCTTAGATCAGATATCACAGTGTTCCACAATAAAAGATAAAAACAAATACATAGTAAAAAATGATAAAATACCACCAAAACAAAATATATTAACTGTTATACATATTAATTAACAGGCAATTATCAGCCTAAATTAATAAAGTAAAAGATGAATTTATCTTGCTGCCTGTCTGTCCAGACTGGAAGTTATCACTATATTACCATTTATGATTCCAGTGAATAATTTCCAGTGAAACATGCTGTATGTCTACTGTAAGAGTGTGCAAGGTCATTGAGAGAAACAAAGACCAGAGCCCTTGTTTGTGTTCACATGCTTGGCCAATAACACTGATTCTCATAGAACACAAAGTTGTAGCTTTAGTCGACAATGCTTCAAATATGGATGTTGTTGTAGTATCCAAACCAAATGTGAAATATGGTCACAATATCGCCTCCTGTTCCTGAGTGTTGAATAATGGCCAGAAAAGTGTTTTGGCAGAAGATTATGGCATCACAGTGCAGTTGACCTTTGACCTTTTGGATTCATTACTTCATTTTATCCTATTAGATATTTCTATGAAATTTTATCATAATTAGCGTAAGAATTCTTGAGTTATGGCTAAAAATGTATTTGTGAGGTCATAGTGACCTTGGACTTTGACCTTTGACCGCCAAAATCTAATCAGTTCAAGTTCAAGTGGATGTTTGTGCCAGATGAAATTAAATTCCTGAGATATCATGTTCATGAGAATGGCACATATATACATGCAGACAATATGAAAACATAATGCCTCCAGCTGCGGCTGCTGCCGGCGTAGATGCTTTGAAATTTATTTCCAAATCTATCCACATCAGAGTTACATGTTCTAATTTTGGCTTTTGTATTTTCCGAACATTTCTCTACTGTAATGATAATTTCTGCTGGTTCTGGGAGCTGTGACTTTCTGACCAATGCTCTCCTTACTACTCATTTAATATGATCCAGAAACTGAACTTGTGTTCTGCAGCTGATCTTACAGTGAGATTTTACTGATAATAGTCACCTGGATACAATTTAACATGAACATGTATTGCTGCAGCTGTAAACACACAAACTGGAGATTATTTCTCAGAAGAGAAGCTAGTTTACTGTCAGCAGCAGCGTAATCAAGCGCCTCACAGTCAATCCAGCAGACAGTAACACAGCGAGTATAAAGAAACACTAAAGCTCCAAATCTGCTGAACCACAGCTGGCTCGTTACTCTGAGCTGACGAGCAGAAACCACCGCAACCCTCAGTTCACCACCAGTTCTACTCCTTTATACCCTTAATCTCAACGAGCCTCATTAGCTGCCATGGCCACCAGGACCAGTGGGACGGGAGAAACAACGCCCTGAGATCCTCCTCCAGCAGAGAAAAATTAAGAAAAACTTCAAAGAGTTTTGTGGAAAACAAACCTGACAAATATTACATTTTATTTGCAGACGTTAAAATTAACTAGAAAATTCCAGGGAAATTTTGAGTGCCACGGGGGCTACTGCCGGGATGAGTACATGATTTATTTCCAGTGTTCAAAAGTCACCCTGATCTTATTCTGCTTTGAGAAATGTCTTGATATAAAAGTCTAAACAATGTCACATCCCTTCATCACGTATTATGTGGGAAATATCTCATATTCTGTGTTGTTTTTATTAATAAACAAGAGGCAACATGTCTTCAAATTGGCATTTAAAGGCTTAAAATCCTGAAAACTAATAAACATTTGGTAGGTTTGAGCAGAACTGAAGTGGTTTAAGAGATGTATGCAAAAAAGCAGAAAGAAATATTGATATATGATGATTTTATAGCATTTTCTTTGTGTGTCCTTTTTTGGACGCGAGGAACCCCAGAGGGTACAAAATGTGTTACCAGTGTATAATAGACCTGTAACAGTAACTGACATTAGATTTTAAAAATATGTCAAAAAAGACACTTTCTTGCAGAAATCCATACAGCTGTAACACAACCAAAATGATCAGCAAATCAAAAAAGAAAAATGAAGAAAATGTCCAAAAAAGGACAGAGGGACCCCTGAGGGTTAATAAATCCCATGAACCGCTATTTAAATTACCACTATTGTTTTTTTCTTTGCTAAATTTAACATTACTGGGGAGGAGAGCAACGCGACTAGAAGTGACAGCGAGAGAGGGCTAGTAGCTTCTCCTCTCCTCTGTCTCAGCGGAGACCGTCACAACTTCATTCACTCATTTAACAAAACAAAAAGAAAAGCAACAAAGGAAGCAGTAAATGGACTTACATATTTAAGACCTAACTAAATGTAATTTAAGACCTAACATGCGGCTAATGTAAAGCTAGCGGAGCTTGGAGAGTTGGTTATCTGGTTGCTAGGCACGCACACACGCACACAGGTCAGGAGCTGCCGTTGCCATGGCAATGTGAAAATCTGCCCAGAATTTGGCTTCTACATGGCTTCAAACAACTGCAAATTATGAGAAAACCGTTACTTCTTTTCAAAAACCGAAAACACCGTGACAGACACTGAAGCCAGAAGTTTCTTACAGTCTCTATTTTATTCAGATATTCCTTAAAATGAGTGAGTAAGCTCAGTGCGAAGACAGAGTGAGATTCTTTTGAAAAAAAAAGACGATTACATTAGGTGTCAATGAGAGTGAGACAGGTATTGCTGCCAGACTCGGCACCCCCGTTTAAATTTTGTGCAGACCCTGTCTGTCAAAGTTACATTTTATGAATCCCAACAACTATGTCTACATTTTCAGAAAGAATTATTTGTCTCCTTTTTACGGTTTGGCCGTGAGCTCGAGTTAAAAATAAAAATAAAGGTTATTTTTTACTGCTTCACGCACTCTAGCCAACTGACGCTGTCACTCTAACTTTGAAGAAAAAGTGATTTGCACTCCTCCTTTGAGTGCTCATAGTTTGAAAAGTTTACATTTTATGTAAAAACAGTTGCTGTGTTTTTGAGAGAGCAGAAGTTTTCCTCCGTTTTATAGTTTGAATCACATTTCTACGTGCAGGTATGAGAGAGCTGGGTGACTCAGAAAAAAGGTGAAATTTTGTTGAAAAAAGGTGAAATTTAGTGGGTTTCTAAAGAAATATCCAATGCATTCCTAATGCATTATTTTTTGGGAATAACTTTGGGAAAAATTTGAATTTTAACACCAAAAGTCATAGCACCCTTTTCGGGATCAAGACGCACGTTTTGATGTATATATTACTGGGGTTTTCTCAAAGCTGCGGGACGAGTTACGCGCCGAAATTTGGCGGAAGAATAATAAACCCGAAACAGAAGATTAATAGAGTGCCCCGAGGCACTCCTCTCAGCTATTCTAGCTATAGAGGAGTGCCTCAGAGCTGAGCACCCGTGGCACTAATAAGAAACAGCGCATATAAGGAAACACTAAAGCTTCAAATCTGCTGAGAGAACGACCTCAGCTGGCTCATTACTGTGAGCTGATGAGCAGAAGCCACCACAACCCTCTCTCAGTTCACCACCAGTTTAACACCTTTACACTCCAAACGTTTCGCAGCTGCAGCTGACAAGTTCAAGAAATACATGAGCTCTCGCTTGCTGTCTGCAGTAGAATTTGCCATAGTGGATTAGTAGAAACAATGATATCTTGATAGGTTTTGTCTTTGAAAGGATAGACTTTATTCTACCAATATCCCATCATCTAATTCTGTACATCTTACCAGACTACAAACTGCAGCCAGCCTGCATAGTGAACCAAACACCGGTCCATTTTCTTTAGCTCAGTGACATCACTACTACAGCTGACACTTGGCACCTGTTTCTACCTGATAGTTATTCTGCCGGGTATTTCCTGGTTAAATACGTCAACCCTGTGACAGATGCTGTTTCAGTCCAAGTCTAACCAAATCTTCAGCTGCACTTTATCAGGTCCAACTCAACATCCATCAGCTTCACATGTACTCAGGGTTAGCTGTCCTTTTGGTAAACATGATCATGCATGCTAGTGTTCGTATAAATGTTTCCTTGTTAATGTATAAGTCTACAACTAATGATGATCTTCATTATCAAGCTGCCTTTTTACATTATCAATCATTGTCTACAAAATTTAAGAATATAGTGAACGTGTAATGTTACATAACATTAACGCTTAATGTTACGTAAGTATGAGTTGAGCTGAAACTGTGGCCATAAAGGGATGCACATGGTCAGCAACAATACTCAGATAGACTATGACATTTAAACAATGATTTATTGGTATTAAGGGGCCCAAAGTGAAACAAGAAAACATTCCCCACACCATCACACCCCCACCGGCCTGGACTGTTGACACAAGGCAGGATGGGTCCATGGATTCATGATGTTGATGGCAAATTCTAACAGAAAACCAGGTTTATCAGACCAAGCTACATTTTTCCAGCCTTCAACAGCCCAACTTTGATGATCCTGTGTCGACTGCAGCCTCAGATTTGTTCTCATCTGACAGGAACCTGATGTGGTCTCCTGCTGTTGTAGACCATCTGCCTCAATGTTCGGCATGTTCGTTTTTCTGAGTAACCAAAGTCTTTTTGTCAGCTCAAACCAATCTGGCCATTCTCCTCTGACCGCTCTCTTCAACAAGGTGTTTCCATCAACACAGCTGCTGCTCACTGGATGTTTTTTTGTGTCTCGCACCATTCTGAGTAAAAGCTCTATAGACTGTTTTGTGTGAAAATCCCATGAGATCAGCAGCTTCAGAAACACTCAAACCAGCCCATCTGGCACCAACAGTCATCGCACGGTCAGAGTCACTACTGTCACATGATTGGCTGTATAATCTTTTGAATGAGCAGATGTACAGGTG